TCGGACGACAGCGGAATATATTCTCGCTCGCCCACAGCTCTACCGCTCTAAACGTCTACGAGACGGATGCACAACCCAGCCCTCGGCGCATGCTAGGGTCTTGAAGTTGATACAGAGTGTAAAACATTGATATAAAGAGGTTACTGGTCAAACATCAGAAATTGCTACCAATTGGTCATAAATCTGTAGCCGTATTTGAGGACGTATGACTTGTGTGGACATGATGTAGCAGCAGCGGCACTCATAGGCGTTAATTGACACAAGTTATTGTGTCACACATTTTGTGTGTGTCCCTAGTCTCCATAACTGTGTTCTGTTATCCCCTAGCGTTGAACTAGCCGCTAATTTAACGCGTAACGGTCAAGCAACGGACTCGGTTCGTAACTGCTTCAACTGTGACTGTTGGTATTGTGATTGTTGTGGTTATTATCAGGGTTACAAAAGCTCTATTGTGGTATCTACTTTGTCATCAAGTTCATCACTTTGAACCTTCGTATACGTCGACGGTCAATAGTCTGTAGAGTTCTACGAAGCAAATTGTACCAATACTGTCGTAATGAGCTCGAGTTTCTGAGAAATTCAAATCCAAAGCATCGCGTGCAAAACATTAATTGTTGAACTGATGATTGAAACAACAAAATTGGGACCTTCAGAATTCGTAATACTCACTCGACGAAATTTCAGACCCGGACGGATTTTGTATCAGTATGAAATCGGAGCGCAAAACATAAACTGAAACGCCCATCAGAAGCCTCAGTGATCACCCGTTGGGTTGTTCGACACCACAGATCCTGTTGACATTGACTTATAACACTAGCCAGAGCGTTACTATTTGGAGGAATAGGAATGAGTACAACAGCAACAGTACAACCTCCTACTAGCCATAGCTAGGAGGGACAGATTGGGCAGACGGATTCCACAGCACACAACTATTGGACGATAGAGTGATCACGCCCCCCAGGCCAGATATGTGGCAAGGAATCAGAAAGCATCAATCCCTTGACTTCGTAGCCAGCCACAGACAGCTTTTGGAATATGACGGTGAGCAGTACTGGTAAAGCCAAGCCCAAATAAATCCACCGGTCCAACAGTAAAAGTCGCACATACCTTATCGCGACGACCACGGGGAGGATGCCAAGATCCATTGCGGTGGCGGTCAAGGCCAATAACTTCTAACTCTTCCGGGGATGTACGCTCCACCAGGCTTACAGACAAGTCGTGAGAGGGCTCACCAGCTTCATCAGTGGTTGTTTCGCGAATGACGAATACCCAATGACCCGGTTTTATGCTGAGAAAGGGGATACCACCAGGCATAGAAGGCCGAGCAATTTGGGTCAATAACGCTTGATGTGGGAGAATCGAATGTGTGAAGTCACTGATAAAGTCGTCGGTCTTATACGGCAAAAGTTGGCCAACAGAAACATATCCAGATTTTCCACGTAGCTGATACAAATACTGATTAGTGGGATGGACTTGTGCCACTTCATAAGGCCCCTGGATAACACGTTTACCATTGATCTTGCGCACAAGCCGGACGTCATCTCCTTCATCGAAGGAATAGCGAGGAGCAACTGCCAGCATATCATGAATCTCGGCTGTGGCAGCACGCTCATCTCGAAGTTGGCGGTACAAACTATACCGATCCTTGATTATATTATTCACCCGGTCAAAAGGGAGTGCTTCATCTAAATCTGAGCCAACCGCCAAGTTGTGTGGGGACAACCGAGTTCCCATCAGTGATGATTGGTTGTGCACAAAGCTACTAACCATTACCGAAATATACCAAGGGAGGGCAGTATTGCTCGTAGCATTTGTTTGAAGACCACACTTCAAGTCACGCACTACGCCTTCCACTAGGCCTTGGGTTTGTGGCCTACGAGCAATACCAATAGAGAGATGGAAGTTCCATGTTCTTGCGAATATCGATAGCTCTTCACTAACATGGGCTCCTGCTCCATCAAGTTGAACATAACTTGGTACTCCATATACTTGGAACCAGATCAACAAGCTAGTGATAACGACAAGCGCTGACGTGTTAGGTACAAGTAGTGACAATACAGCCCTTGATCCTTCATCAACCATCACAAGAACATACATATTATTGCCCGGGCAAGCAGGTTGGTTAGCACGGACAAAACTGTCCATAGGTCCCATAAAATCCAATTGCAAAGCGCTAAACCTAGTCATGCCTCGGCGGAATACAAGGGGTTGAGGGTTGAAGGGTTCATACCATTTCCCCAATTGACAGTTAGGGCAATGCTTAATCCAGCGGTTCATATCCTTCGAAATTGTCGGCCACCAATATCCATCCGCCTTTGCGGCAGAGATCGCTCTTGGAGACCCTCGATGCCCACCAAGTAAGGGGTTGCTATGGTATCGATAAAGAGCCCAGGCACGACTCCTTGGAGAGGGCAAATACACCAACCAAGGCCCATCAGTTTGTTTGTCCTTGTACTCGAGCAACTCATTCAGGATCCTAAATCGTGGGCCAAGGACCGCGCCCCCCAATCGTAGCCGGGTTGCAGTAGGATAGACATCAGGCTCAGCAAAGCTCGCCATAATCTCCGAGACAGGTACATCAAATAGCTTCAAATTACTCGTATAATCCTTGTCACCCAATGCCTGTCTACAATGCACCAATAAGTCAGCTTCTGACATATCGGCAACACCAGTCAAGTCATCATACTTGATAATATCGACATGGGCTACCGCAACAGGGAGCGAGTCACCAATCTGCAATAATCCTAGGTCAGTATTGCTTAAATCAACGGCGGGATCGGGTACAACTACCATCCTCCCGGGGTCAACATGACTAAAAGGAGGTGTTATCAATGCGCAATCAGTGTCACGGGAAAAAACTACACAAGAAGGGAAAGTATCCAAGCTTTTCACTTTCTTGTTCACGCTGGTAGTAATTTCGGACAAGTCTGGTAAGACATCCAGAGAACTCCCCAGACGTGACAGTTTGTCCGCTTCATCATTAAGGTGGCCAGCTATATGACAAACCTTGATGGATACGCCAAGCTCTTCCTTGCATTGAGTCAATAGGTCAGAAATATCATCTTGCAAGCGGTGCACAGCTTGTATGTCATATTTGCGAGGTTTTTGCGCGCTACCCCATGCAGCTGCGGTAGTGTTATCACAGTAAACAACTATACCTCTAATATGATGGCTAGAGGGCGGGAAAGCTTCAGCCCAGCACACCAAATGGCGAATTGTACGGTGCAACCAATAGAATTCCTTTCTATTCACATGCCACCGTCGCTGTTTCTCATCAAACAAGCGAGCATGTTTTTCTAGCTGAACAACATCATCATCAGAAGGACGACTGTCGGGATTTCCAGCGGACAACAGACAACATCCACCCCCAAGGTCTGATGCATCTGTGTATCCAATCAAGTATGAATGTTCAGCTGGAATGGTGCTGTGAGCACAGTTTCGAAAATCCTCTTCAGCTCTGCCAAAGAGCGAACGGAGAGACACTAACTGCGAGCTAGTGAGTCGGAACTGTTTGTCCCAAGAGCATTTCCATTTGCCAGCCCAGGAACGCAGATAATCAGCTATAAGATGAGCCTCAGCGTGACAATACGCCGGGTCATATATCTCCCCCGCAAGGGAGAATATTGACCTTTTCGAAATAAATGGACCAACATCCACACTGGACGTTGGTGGACCATTACATGACAATTCAAGTTCCCTTGTGCCCAACAAAGACAAGGTTACACCTAAGTGGTCAACTGACGCACCCGGAACCAAGTGGGTTTGCTTCTCCTTTGGAAACTCGGCCCCTATCTCAGGAGCAATTCTTGAGATGATCTCAACGAATCGACGGGCTAAGTCACTTGGCCCGATGATCAAGAGATCATCATAATAAGGCAGGATAGTCAAACCAGATATGACATCTGCGAATCCAAAAACTTCATTCACCTCAACAGGTCTCCCCAACATACCTGTGAGTACCGCATTGCACAACGCACAAACTTGTGCGCTAAGGATTGCTGGACCCACACGGATCCCAAAAATAATCCTATCTGATACGAATACCCTACCAAGGGTACGAACCTTCACATATTTGTTGTGTGCAATCCTTATTTTATAAAATGCTTTTCGCAAATCTAATATATAGACACTAGATGATTTAGAGTCCCATCTTGCACGGACTAGTCTTAGGATTTGGTCAATCGACCATCCATGGTATGATGCACACGCTAGCTCACCATTGAGTTTGCGTGCATCGCTACACGCTCGTACGCGCGTCGATTTTGTCTCCTTCTGGGATGAAGGGAACGTGATAATATCAGTTTGAGAGATTAAAGA